TATGAACTTTTATTCTTGACAATTTTTCAAAAATATACAGGGTGCGCCACAAATTCAAAAAAACTTGGGACCCCCTATTATTGAAAATTAGTTATAACTGAAAGACTATGATTCACTCCCAGTGTTCGAAGTGTTTTGAAAACACGAAAGTTGATATACGTTTGAGTATATCTGGCAACACCGCATGATTAAAAATATTTTACGCAAGTAGCTCATATTCGCTAACACAAGTAAGTCATGCTACATAAATGTCTGATAGGACACTCACCATGAATAACCCTGTATACTCCGGTTTTGTTTTTTATCTATCTCAATAATAAGTCGATAATGAATCCGCACTTTATTATAAAGGCGGTGCGATGCGCCGGGGAGTCGTTTCGCGAGCGACCAGAAAAATGGCGAAAAAAAAGCAGGCCCGTGTAATCGGTCCTAATTTTAGGGCAGGCATGGAAATTTGGCAAAGCGGTTCCGGTCGTTAAGTTACCGCCGTCTCTTCGTTTCGGCTACTTTATTATCCCTAACGAGAATATACTTTCGGACCGTATATAGATTTCGATCTAATTTCCATCACCGCTTTGGCCCACGCAGGTGGGCCCCAAACAGCAACGATGACAAAATGCAAATTTTCGAGTTAAAAAAAAGTCAAATAATTTCAAAAATAAGTAAATAAATAAATAAATAGATAAATAAATAAATAGATAAATAAATAAATAAACAGATAAATAAATAAACAGATATATAAATGTTTAACCTATTTTTTGGGCAATACTATGCCACAAAAATACATCCAAATGGACAAAACTCGAAAATAAAAATAAAAGAAGTTAGGACCGTTTGAGTTATGTAATTGTATAGAAAATCTCATCTTTTATATTGTTAGTGAACTTTGCAAATAATAAACTATCTTTACAATTATTATTATTATTCGTTTTTTTCTTTTAATAAAATACAGACATCAGAATCAAAACAATTAAAAATGACTTAGGTGGCATAAAGTCAACAAAGATTGATTTCAAAGCTTCCAGCAAGCCAAAATAGGGACGTTTCTGTATTGATTTTGTACAATTTGTTGCTAATATTTCGAAACTGCAACACCTCAAAACTTTATAAAAATGGTGTTCCCGTTTAAAAAATATGACTTTTAGGGATTTTTTCATTTAAATTTTTATGCTAGTTTTTGATCTCCCTATAACAAAGATTTTCAGCCGAAGAAGTCGATAGATATATTTAGACCTGCACTGTTGACACAAAATTCAAAATATATCAGTAAGTCTTAGGTATTATATATCAAATAAGTCTAGAAACTTTCACGGAATTAAAAATTGCTTGAATACAACATACGATGCCAACATCAAAATTACAGCCTCACAAATTAAGAAAGAAAAGTAATCTAGGCACTTTTTGTAGTCTTCATTCTGGATATAGTATTAAAAAAATATTAAATCGTGAAATGTCGTTTTAGCTTACGAAAAGATTATTTATTATTTATATTTTTGTTTTACAGAAAATCAGAAAATTTCAAAAAAAATTATACCTACTGACTGACCTATGAAAATATACAATTTTAACTGTGTAAATGATTTTCAAAACGTGGAACAGATTGCTGGTGTGATAATATGTCAATATACCGGGTTAGTAAAAAGTACCAAAAACGAAATGTAGAGTTAGTAGCCAAGTTTTTTTTCCATGTGACGTATAAAACAAGACACTATCAATTTTCCGACATATAAGCCTACATCATATTTTTTTAAATCGAACGCCCTGTATATATATATATATATATATATATATATATATATATATATATATATATATATATATATATATATATATATATATATATATATATATATATATATATATATATATATATATATATATATATATATATATATATATATATATATATATATATACTTTCTGTATACTAAAAGGGCAACCGCAGCTCGTCGTCAGTATATTAGACTCTATCCAGAGCGCCGAGCTCCTTCAAAACAGATATTTTCAAGGCTGGAAAAGAAATTTGCAGAAAACGGTAACGTATTGAATGCTAAAAAGGTGTGCCAGAATCATAATTTTTTAAATGAAGAAAATAAGGCAAATATATTGAGATTCTATGAAGCACATCCAGCTTCCTCTATTACTAGAGTATATGAAGTATATTACTAGAGTGTATGAAGTATATAGATATCTCGGGGATCATTGCACTCAGTTTTGGGAGAATATAAATTTCGTAAAATTCAAAAACCAAGTGCAGAACAATATCAAAGGAGGATGCAGTTTTGTTTGTATTTTTCAAATGAATCCCGAGGATAATAATTTTTTGAAAGACATTTTATGGACTGATGAAAGTTCGTTCACTACAAGACAAAATACGCGATATCGGTGTCCAAATAATCCTAAGCAAATACGCGAAATAGAAACCCAGGAGTACCAATTAATTAACATATGGTGTGGTGTCATAGATGGGCATATCATTATTTGCAACTCTTAGAGCACCAAATAGAACAATATATAGAAGATTTACCCCTAAATATATCAGCGCTGATTATATGACAGCACCTCACAATGTTGTTAAAATTTTTCTTAACATGGAATGCCGCACGTGCATAGAACTCCTTGTAATAATGTTACGTGGAACTTTATCAAAGGATTTTAGAGGCAATCAAGCAGTTGAGAGACAATCCGGAAATGTCACTAAATGCAAGACATCATACAATTAGAGTGTATGAGACAAGAATCGTAAACCTAATAGGATTGCCTAGTCCGCCAAATCTGTCCGTAAGCGCAATGCGAAAACTTTCGCTGGTTGTGACGTAGGTGAAGTCCTGTATTGGCGCGTTTACTATGTAAATGCATGGAAATAATCTGAAACTGACTTGAATGATGAACTTTGAGTATTGTGAGTAGCTAATATAGCATTTTGTTTGGATAATCACTCGTTATTTTCATTTAATGTCAACATTAAATTGTTTTAGTACTTATTTAATAATTATTAGGTAGTAATGTAGGGTAGGGACCCAGGTAAGGTAAAAATAATACTATTGCAATCAAGTTTGGCTTATATGTATTATCTTGAAATACATATATTAATTAAATATTGTTACACATAAATACATAAAACTAGCGAACAAAACGATTTTGTAAAACTTTGTGTTTTACGGCATTCTACCATTTTAAATATACAAAAATCAATAAATACTTATAAACTAGAAATCCCTATTTTTGGATATATTAAAGAACATTAAAAAACAAAAAATATATTAGGCATACATAACAACTATTTATGGTAGGTAAACAATAATATGTATTTATATGTACCCTCGTATGTACATAATATAAAAAATACATATTATTACATATACTTAAATCTTTATTTTACAATTTTACGATGCTTTCTATTTTTTTTCTGCGGGTACCATACTTAGCTTTATAATTTATTATTTGGGGCTCGGAGATGGATTTTTCTCTAGAATTTCACTTGATGCATTCGATGTTGTTGCTAAAAGCTCAGGCAATACCTGCCGAGCTTCTTTTTTGGCATTTTTGGAATGAAGTCTTTTTGATCTAGATAGTCCTGCTTCTGTTGGTGGCTTCTGGTTAAATAAGAATAGGGTGGGGACAGCAATTTTTTTTTAGAATCTTTTTAAAAGGTAAACCTAAAATTTAAATTTTGTGTAATAACTCATTTTGTAAGTCTCTTTCGTAATCGTTTTCAGTAAAATGAACTGAGCAGACATAGCTTTTATCTGGATTCAGTTTGCCCTATATTCTAAATCGAACTATCTACTCGTTCCGAATAGTTCGGGATACTTGATCTTTCTTTGGGAAAGCGATGAAAACTACATTTTCGAGAACTTGCTTTTTCATCAAAATAGTTGTTATTGCACATCTCGTTCCAACTATTTTTGATGTAACTTATCCCACTGAAAAAGGTAAAAGAAATGTATTTCTTACCTTTACCTATATTATTATGTGTAATATTTTGAGCTTACATCCTAACTAATAACACCGCTAATAAGCAACACGAACACAAAACTTTTAAGTTTTCGTTTAAGGTTAAAAATACTGTTTTTCTCAGTTCTCGCCACTCAAGCACATACAATTTTAAATTATTTGTTAAAGCTTGAAAACACTGTTTTGTCCAAGTTTTTTCTTACAGAAATACAATTAACACAAACATAAGCGCGCCACTCACTTGTTTAAATTATTTTAATTGTTCAAAGAACACAAAAACCGTTAGAGGACTTCGTTTACGTCACAAGCGACCACGTGCCATCGATAATTTTGGCGAACGTATGTCTTATGGGATTGGGCAATCCTATTAGGTTTACGATTCTTGGTATGAGAAATATGTTCATTGTAAATGGAAAAAGATATTCATTTAAAAATATATGATGTAGGCTTGTATGTCAGAAAATTGATAGTGTTTTGTTCTACTAACCCTAACTTTTGTTTTTTTGGTTTACCTTGATATTTATAAAAACAAAAAAGTTACATACAATTAAAATGTTCTCAAGTTAAATTGACTGTACGGGACACTTCGCACTTGCCTTCATTTTGTCTGGTACCAAGCAAGAACTAGTTTGTTAAAACAAATTTTTGCTAAAAGAAATTAAAAAAAATTACAAATAAATATTTATTAGCGTAATTTTTTCGGATTTTCTTCAGTGGCATTAGGTTTATTATTTGCAAAATTGCTTAAATAAAAAATAAACGAATTTTCTAATTTTCGTCCACACCGTGGTCCGTTAATCACCCGGCCTCTTATTAGACCGCTAACGATCGCCAATGAATTACCCAGTTAACGACCCGATTCAATAAATATTTATAAACAAAACCATTTTGTATCGGAAAGGAAAAAAAAAGGCACCTCCGTACACACACACACACACGGGCACACGTGTGTGGTGATATCGTGGTGGTGGTACATAGTGGCGGAACAAACACAACATATACCTAAATGAGTAAAACATTTTCAGTCTGCATGGTGCTGCAGCGTGGTGTTGTGTGTGTGTTTAGTATATTCAGAGGCGACGGGACTCTTCCAATATGTCAGTCAGCCTCTTGCCAGCAGTATCACTAGAGGAGCGGTCGTGTCCAGAAGAATATCGCGGACAGCCTCCGATGACGTAGCCCCCCGGACGCGAGATTCATTTTTTTTTCTCTTCTTCTTCGGTTATGTGTGCGCGTGTTTTGGTGTCGTGCGAGAGTGCGGGCAAATTTGGTGAAGAATTATTTTTTTCAAAAAAACGAACCCGACACGGTGGATTAGTATTTTTAACGAACGTCTGGAAAGTGTCGTTCGCGATTTACGGCGGCGGGGAGCCGCCCCGCGTGGAACGCGGCGGGGAAACTAAGCAGACAGGTCTTAAGGTAAATAAGTCGATTAGTATCGGGGAGGAGTTTACCCGTTTTTTCCTTTTTCACGTAAACGCCCGCGTTTTTAATTAGATTCGGGCGTAAGAGGGAGGCGGGGGCGCGTTTAATTTGAGACATTGAAGAATGCCGCCGGCGGCGGCGGGATTAAAATAGGCGCTTTGGCGATGTATTTACCTTTTTGTTTTGGTTTACGTACGGAGTGCGTAAATATAATTTCGTGCGGGAATTTTATCCGCCATTAGTTCTTATTTATCAAAATAAATATGAACTAGAAGTTCAGATTTTCACGAAATTATACATTTTCACATGAAATTTGATAAAGACACGGTGTTGTCGAAACAATTGTCATGTAAAAATATATAATTTCATGAAAATCTGAACTTTTCTTATTTATTATGAATCGTTAATTATATTAATAAGTTTGATTAGTGCTTTTTATTCGCGACGCATTTGAAAATGACTCGATAAAATAGCCGACTTTTATTTATTGATCCATTGACGGGAATATTCACGGGAAAGGGGGATTAATCGACCACGCTAAAAATTGTGACAGATAAGCGAATTAAAAAGTGTCTGTAAATATGTAACGAAGATTTGCGAATCCGTAACGAGTGGCCGGTTATGGAATCTCAAAACTTGCACAAAATATCAAAAAATCAAAATATTATTAAAATATTTTATTGATCCATTTACAATATTTTAAATGGAACTCTATTCATGGACGTTTTTGAATTACTCTTAACTTCCTAAATTAAGAAAAAAAGAATTTATATTTAAATTATCCTCTGGACGAAGTTTGGAAAACAAAATGTGACACAAAATATGTAACGGAGTTTTGTAAATTCGTAACTAGTGGCCCGTTGATTACGGAATGTACAAAAAAACAAAAAAATAAAATATTGTATTTTTCTATTTACAAGAAGTTTGTATATTCATGAATGCTTATCAAATTTCTCTTATTTTAAATGGAACTCTAGATATGAACGTTTCTGAATTACTTACAGCTTTCTTGGCATATTTCGTATATTATAACATTCTTGAGGGGAGTATTCCCAGAAAAGAGGGATTAACCACCGTGCTAAAAGTTGTGTGTTTTGCGTAAATATTATATTTAAATTTCCCCCTGGATGAAATTTGGAAAAGAAAATGCGGTATTTGTTTTAGCACCCTTTTTAAAATAAATTACACAAATTAAAAAATGTCTATAAATGTGTAACGGAATTTTGTGAATTCATAACGAGTGGTCCGTTAATTGTCCAATGTATAAAATATGAAAAAAAAAATATTATTAACATATTGTGTTTTTTGATTTACAAGGAGTTTGTATTTACACTTCGTGAATATCGACAGGAGAGGGGGGTTAACCGACCATGCTAAAAATTGTGACGGTTTTGTCGCCCTTCATAAAATAAATAAAGCAAATTAAAAAATGTCTATAAATATACGTAACGAAGATTTGTGAATCTGTAACGTGTGGTCCGTTATTGAATCTCAAAACCTGTACAAAATATCAAAAAAAATATTAAAATACTTTATTTCGCTGTTTACAAAGAGTTTGTATTTTCGTGAATGACTAGCAACTCCTTTATTTTAAATGGAAGTTTATATTTGAATTACTCGGAACTTTTTTGCCATATTTCGTATATTATATGACATTTGACGGGAATATTCACAGGAAAGGGGCTTTAACAGACCATGCTAAAAATTGCGACAAAATATGTAACGAAGTGTTATGAATCTGTAGCAAGTGGTCCGTTCATGTTAAGTTCTTCTTTAAAAATACTCGGTCACCGCCAGGCACTAAGTAACGCAGAAAAGAAAATTTTGCTAACTGGGATTACCGTCAAGTCACACCCACCCACCCACATAACAACTATTTGCTTAATATTTTGACAACAATAAATTTTTGGATGCGGTTAGATGAAAATCATTTCCTTCTCCTACAAACAAAATGTTATTATAATTTTGTTTCATTTGTTTTATGACGTGTCCGTTAGATTTTTTTTGTAGTGTTTAATTTAAGTATTGAAAATGTTTTTATTAATACATTTTATTCACAACATAGTAAAAAAATATAATTAAAAAGCTAGAGAAAGAATTTTTAATTAAAATTTTAGTCACTGCCTGAAACCAAAAATGACAAAAAATTTACCGGTAATTATTAAAAATGTCGCTAATTAATTAAATCAATTGTCTATCAATAAATTTTATCGCGTTTATTGGCCGTTAAATCGAAATCGACCGGAGATTTTAAAAAATCATATGCCACGATATAAATTATTGATAATTATTGTAATAAATTTAGACGTAATTAATTAAATTTTATCGACGACCCACTATTGACTATAAATTGTTTTTTTCAGTCTCAAAAATCAATTCCGATAAACGAACGTAGATAATTGATTAAATAGTAATTTAAACGAATTGATCGATTGCTAAATATAATTGCTTTAATTATTTCCGCGGAATTTGGCGGATTGGTTAAATTCGGATCAATCAAAGTTTCGCGGCCCCGCCTTTAATCGATTGTTGGCAAGTATTTATTACGGGTTTATTAAGTTTAAGTAAGAAATATCGTTAAACCCACATATCAAACACAATTTAGTCGAGAAATAAAAATCGATTTAGTTAATTAAATCACCTACGCGGGTTTGATTACCGCTTTTTTTCCTTTTACAAATATTAATTGACATCGCTATTTACCTTTCTAAATATGGAAAAGATTCAGTCATTCACATGGACGGCATAAATAATTAATTGACTTTACAAAGTAAATTAAATTTTCGAAAATGATTTCATTTCTAATTAATTTTCTCGGATGAAATTCATAAAATAATTAAAAATTAAAATCGAAATTGAATTTTCTTGTTTCGCAAAATTAGCGATTTGATCACGAAGAGAGAGCGGGTTATTGATTTAATGTAATATTAATTAAATTATACAATCGTTCGCATGGACGGCATAAATAATTAATTGACTTTACAAAGTAAATTAAATTTTCTAAAATGATTTCATTTCTAATCAATTTTCTCGGATGAAATTCATAAAATAATTAAAAATTAAAATCGAAATTGAATTATCTTGTTTCGCAAAATTAGCGATTTGATCACGAAGAGAGAGTGGGTTATTGATTTAATGTAATATTAATTAAATTATACAATCGTTCGCATGGACGGCATAAATAATTAATTGACTTTACAAAGTAAATTAAATTTTCTAAAATGATTTCATTTCTAATTAATTTTCTCGGATGAAATTCATAAAATAATTAAAAATTAAAATCGAAATTGAATTATCTTGTTTCGCAAAATTAGTGATTTGATCACGAAGAGAGAGTGGGTTATTGATTTAATGTAATATTAATTAAATTATACAATCGTTCGCATGGACGGCATAAATAATTAATTGACTTTACAAAGTAAATTAAATTTTCTAAAATGATTTCATTTCTAATTAATTTTCTCGGATGAAATTCATAAAATAATTAAAAATTAAAATCGAAATTGAATTTTCTTGTTTCGCAAAATTAGCGATTTGATCACGAAGAGAGAGTGGGTTATTAATTTAATGTAATATTAATTAAATTATACAATCGTTCGCATGGACGGCATAAATAATTAATTGACTTTACAAAGTAAATTAAATTTTCTAAAATGATTTCATTTCTAATTAATTTTCTCGGATGAAATTCATAAAATAATTAAAAATTAAAATCGAAATTGAATTATCTTGTTTCGCAAAATTAGTGATTTGATCACGAAGAGAGAGTGGGTTATTGATTTAATGTAATATTAATTAAATTATACAATCGTTCGCATGGACGGCATAAATAATTAATTGACTTTACAAAGTAAATTAAATTTTCTAAAATGATTTCATTTCTAATTAATTTTCTCGGATGAAATTCATAAAATAATTAAAAATTAAAATCGAAATTGAATTTTCTTGTTTCGCAAAATTAGCGATTTGATCACGAAGAGAGAGTGGGTTATTAATTTAATGTAATATTAATTAAATTATACAATCGTTCGCATGGACGGCATAAATAATTAATTGACTTTACAAAGTAAATTAAATTTTCTAAAATGATTTCATTTCTAATTAATTTTCTCGGATGAAATTCATAAAATAATTAAAAATTAAAATCGAAATTGAATTTTCTTGTTTCGCAAAATTAGTGATTTGATCACGAAGAGAGAGTGGGTTATTAATTTAATGTAATATTAATTAAATTATACAATCGTTCGCATGGACGGCATAAATAATTAATTGATTTTACAAAGTAAATTAAATTTTCTAAAATGATTTCATTTCTAATTAATTTTCTCGGATGAAATTCATAAAATAATTAAAAATTAAAATCGAAATTGAATTTTCTTGTTTCGCAAAATTAGCGATTTGATCACGAAGAGAGAGTGGGTTATTAATTTAATGTAATATTAATTAAATTATACAATCGTTCGCATGGACGGCATAAATAATTAATTGATTTTACAAAGTAAATTAAATTTTCTAAAATGATTTCATTTCTAATTAATTTTCTCGGATGAAATTCATAAAATAATTAAAAATTAAAATCGAAATTGAATTTTCTTGTTTCGCAAAATTAGCGATTTGATCACGAAGAGAGAGTGGGTTATTAATTTAATGTAATATTAATTAAATTATACAATCGTTCGCATGGACGGCATAAATAATTAATTGACTTTACAAAGTAAATTAAATTTTCTAAAATGATTTCATTTCTAATTAATTTTCTCGGATGAAATTCATAAAATAATTAAAAATTAAAATCGAAATTGAATTTTCTTGTTTCGCAAAATTAGCGATTTGATCACGAAGAGAGAGTGGGTTATTAATTTAATGTAATATTAATTAAATTATACAATCGTTCGCATGGACGGCATAAATAATTAATTGACTTTACAAAGTAAATTAAATTTTCTAAAATGATTTCATTTCTAATTAATTTTCTCGGATGAAATTCATAAAAT